CCGGCCCACTGCCCGGGGATCCCAATAATAAATTCCCCTTATCCTGGGAACAGGCAAACAAACAGATTTTTTAAACCCCCCACCCCCCAAAGGGGAATTTTACAAAGGGAGGTGTATTAAATTATCACAAAAAAACAAAAAGGGTCCTTAACCACTGTTTTAAAAAAAGGGTTTTAAAGTTTTGAAGTTTTTTATAAAACGGGTAAAATTCTTTTAAAATCCAGATCAGTCAAGTTTAAGCCGGGTGTCCGACCAAGGTGGGGGCCCCCTTCATCAAAGTAAAGATTGGGGTTTCATTCCGCTCCATCTCCTAAACCCTTTTTTAGGCCCCTTTGAAATGTTAACCACATCGAGCCCCAATGCAGAACCTTTTTGGGGTTACCGGGGACTATTATATATATTTAAAAGTGTTTTTTTTTTTTGATACATGTACCTCCAAAAATGAAAATGTTGGTATTTTACAAAATGGCATTTGCAAATAGGGTACTGTAATTTACAGATGGCGAAAGTGTTTGAAAATGGTGGTTTTACAAATGGCGTAAATTAACCAAACCGTCTAGCTTTGGCAAATGGCGTCATGTAAGAATATGTACGAAAAACACAAAAATAAAATATGTACAAAAAACTAAAATAAAATATTTATGCAAAACTAAAATATAATATGTATGCAAAACTTAAATAAAATATGTATGCAAACTAAAAAAGAAATATGTATGGCCAAAACTTAAAAAAGTATGTATTCAAAACTAAAAAAAAATATGTACGATAAAAACAAACAAAAAAATATGTAAAAAAAAAAAGTATCAAAAAAATGCAAATGTCACTTTTATGCCCACCGTTCAAAATACTCTAGTACAGAAATTGTATATTCCTAGAAATTAAAAGGTGCTGCGAAAAATATTCCTGTTCTGTCAGTCATTTACTTGATAACTTTTGGTGCCATATTTGAGCCCCATTTTAAATATGTTGGGAATGAATTAAAAATTATTTTTTCGCAAAGAACTATACATTAATACTTATATTGCAATGTTCTGGTGAAACATCAAGTTTTTCGATCGATTTTTACAAATACATTATTAAGCTTATCAACAAACTTAAGGGTTTTTGTAAGCTCCGTAACCAGAGGCTTTTTTTATAGGAAATCTTACATACTTCTTTAGAAAGAGCAAACATGAATTTTATAATGTTAAAAGAATGGTATCAGAGAACTGTAAGCTGCTTGTTACCTGAAGAAAGTAGCGATAAATGTGAAATTATTTGTCATAAAAGTAGTCAAAACACTGTAGTATTTAATTTCCATATAAAATACCGTACTAATTCACTTTAACAGTACTCATCATTGCCAAATAGTAACAGATGAAAAAGATGGTTAAGATAATTTGGCCAATGTGTTTTATTTTTGATAATATAGAAGAACATTGAAATAAAAAAGCTTTTTAGGAAAACAAATAAATGCATTATGGGACTTTAAAACGTTATTTTTAACCCTCGGGGGGGGGGGGGGCCGAAATACCCCACAATTCCCTCTATACCCCCAGTGAGAATTTTACATTATTCTGAAGCTCGCGACTACTTAAGTAGTTGATATTTTTAGTACTGTCTGTACGGACTACTACTTAAAGCCCGTCTACACCTAGTCAAGTTTCTTATATTATGTCACACTTAGCTAAATAAATGGTTCTTTCAACATATTATCAGGCACATTTTTTACTGAAATGTCTTACAAAGATTCCCTAGAATTTACACATTTGTCTATGCTAAAACTATCATATTTTTATAAAATGTGTAAATAAAAAACGGGAAAATAATGCATTTAGCTAAAAACAATGGAGTTAATGAAAGGTCTACATTCTTTTAAAATAAATGAAAAATTTGAGAAAAAATATTTTAAGCTTAATAATTGATACAAATTCTTTATTTGGTGATTTATTTGGTGAAAGTTCTTCACTTACTAATAAAGATCATTTAAATCCCTATTGATTATACTAAAATTCAGGGCACATATTTGCGTCTATTTAATACCCTTGATTTTTTGTTTACCATTGGCTTTGACTACAAATATATTATTTAAAACATAACGAACATAAATTTTCTATGACCCCAAAGTGCGGTCGTTTGCCAGATGTTAAAAAATGCATATGTACCTGTTTAACGCACTTTGGGGTCAAAATTGGACCCCAAAGTGCGTAACGCACTCTGGGGTCGAACCCCAAAGTACGTAACGCACTTTGGGGTCGGACCCCAAAGTGCGTTTGACCCCAAAGTGCGGTGTTACAATGCCCTGTGTCTCTCCATGGCGCGCACGTACCGGGATCGTGGAGCAGTTATTATTATTATCTGTTATATACAATGTTCCAGGGTTCGGGAGGATGTGCAACTGGAACTGTTTGTATGGCTCTGCAGAATGGAAATTCTGGGAATCATAAGTATCGATGCGGAGGTAAAAACAAATTAAACTCATACGTGATAACTAGATTTTCACGAAATTATAAATTCTGTTACTACCTTGACCATTCAGAAGTTATATTTGATAAGTTAAGTTTTATTATTTCGTGGAATAATTTAAAAACTACTTGTATTTAAAAAAAATCCACTGGCGAGTATACATTTAAAATATAACTACTATATTTTACTTTTGTAATGTAAAGAAAATCTTACATACTGTCCATATCACATTGAAAATGTCAAAGTTTATTTTCAAAACTTTTGAACGCCTGGTTTCCATAATAATTATTTCAAAAGGGGTTCATTAATAAGGCGATGTGTCGCTTGAGTGTGGGATAGCGGCATTCAATGCGATGTATTGTTTAAGGGGCATTATAAAAAATGAGCCGTGTCATGACAAAACCAACATAATGGGTTTGCGACCAGCATGGATCCAAACCAGCCTGGGCATCCGCGCAGTCTGATCAGGATCCATGCTGTTCGCTTACAACTCTATAATAAGTAGAGAAACTGATCCTGATCAGACTGCGCGGATGCCCAGGCTGGTCTGGATCCATGCTGGTTGCAAACCCATTATGTTGGTTTTGTCGTGACGCGACTCAAATGCAAAATCCGTTTCAGAACCACAAGCTGAAGGTTGTTTGTGTGATAATACACTTACTTCCGTCGAGGCGTGTGAGTGTGGGTTGAGCTGCCAACTCGACAGTAATGCCAAAGGGAATGGAAATAAGCTATACATATGCCAACCTGACATTTGTAAGACAGTATTTCAGACAATATTTAATTATTTATACCACACTGAGCTTAATTCTTCACTGAATTATTAATATTTTTATTGACACCTTGGTAAAATGACAATGGAAAAACCCGTTTTGTGTTTCAATTAAAAGAGAGAAGTAAAATAAATTGAGAAAAAAAATGTTATATTGTTTAGACAACAAATTGAGCATACACGATCGATGAAAATATTCAGATTATTTTTATTACAAGTTAGGCTTATTATCAAATGAGCATATCAGTTAAATACATGTACATACAAACCTGTCACATCATTAGGAAAATAGAACGAAAATCAATAACTTTTAATCTTAACATGACCACACTATATATAATTTAATATACAATGTATATATATATATATATATATATATATATATATATATATATATATATATATATATATATATATATATATATATATATATATATATATATATATATATATATATATTTTTGTGTATATATTTTTGTTATTTACCCCTTATTGTAAAGGACAATATTGAGGGGCTAATCCTTTCTGTTCTGTTCTGTTGTGTTCAGATACACCAAAAGACGAGTGTGATGCAGCAAGCAACATGTGGGAAATGGTGTACAGTCATGATAATCTTATGAACACCATTGATGGTTCATTGGAGGCTCTCACTGAAGGACTTAGAAATGGGGCAGAAGTTAAAGTTTGGAGTCCATTTTATGGCCTTACAAATATTCAGAAGAGCTCTATACATTCGATCATTAATGACGAACCCGAACAAGAGGTGCGTTTTGTTTTTAAAAGTGTTATTATATATCATGTAACTTTTATGGAAATGGGTGTGGAAGAAAAAGGTTACACGTAAACAGTCATAGAACTCGAATTATAGTTAATGCCATTGAAAAAAAATATTTTTAAAACTTTTTTTGGCATTTACTGGTAAAAACATGTAAAATTTAAATTTTTACTAGTTTTTTAGCCCCAAAATTGGGTTTAAATCAATGGGATATCTAATGTTTTTTTAAACCCGGAAATTTAGGCCCTTTTTACAAATTTGACGGTATGGTTTATGAACCCTTTGGGTTTTCCAAATTTTTAAACATTAATAAAAAGAGTTCCCTTGGGACTAGAAAAAAACCCTGGGGTAACATGCATATAAGAAATGAAAGTCTTAGACTTTATTCACATTAACGCAAGAGAGCGAATAAAGTCAAGTAAATTAGAAAAGATTAATATTTTTATCAGAACACTATAAATTAAGTTTTTAGTTATCTCTTATACTTGACTGTTTTCTTATAAGTGAAACGGATATAGAAGCATATTAAAAGATAGACACAAGGGAATGGCTAATATAAGACTTTCTCTTTATAGATAATTACAGTTAGTGGTCAATGTCTTTTCTGGACACAAAATAATAGGAACTTGGCGAACATTTACTTAATTTTTGCTGCAAAGTTTGCAAACGTCCATGCCTCGCAATTCTTTATCAATGATCCTGTAAACAGAGTGCGAATAAACAGAAATACTAATTCCGAGATGAAGTGGTTTATCAGGTAAGAAGTTTATCAGGTAAGAAGTTTATCAGGTAAGAAGTTTCAAACTACTCTCCCATAAAATATGCACAGAAGTAAAATTTTGCAGTTTCCGTGAAAGAACTTTGATCTAGCAGTTGTTATTGTTTGGCAAAACTGACCCCGAGGCTAATAAATCTTTGGAAGCTTTCCCGTTTGTTTTTACTAATTGGTTTTTAATGAGAAAATAAGATAGAGAAAACAGAAAACCTTAAGAATGCCAAAAAACGACAAAATTGAAAATGTTGCAGGCCCAGTATTTTCATTAAGCCTGCTCTGGTATTTGCAAGTTACCGTCCTTGCCACATATCAGCGGCTTAAAATCAGCGGCTTATTCAAAATCTCAACAAATAATTGTGACAACAATTGTTATTGACTTTGAAAATGACACAGATCAGACTTTATTACATAATATATAACACTTAAACCTCAACATTTTTATTGTATATACAGACATAGTTCAAGAAATGTTGTTGGTGAAGCCAATATCATTCGCGCTATTGCGGACGGTTCTCACGTAAGAGTCTCGGTAAACGACACATTTAGACACCTTGAAGTTGCTGACATATCGGGACAAGTATTAAAAGGTATCTATGTTTCCTTGCTCGAATAATTTAAACCAACTTTGAACTCATCTAAAGTCACACCGAGAGTGTAAATGTTCACATGCGATTTTCTAGATGTATGGAGGAAGACTTCAGATGACCCTCCGTGCATTATTTCAGTGAACGATCTTCCGAAAAACAACTTGATAGTTTCCTCACGTGAAAGAATTCAAAGTCCCAATCGGGATTCGAACCCAGACTGCGAGGGTCAAGAGTCTGAAGTCAACATTGAATTATTATAAGGTTTTAAACAGTGCTTTGGACAAAGTGGAAATATATATGTTAATAACTAAAAAGATGAAAATCAGATATCAGACCAATTATGTGAAACTTGGTACGAGTCAAAATTTATTTCGTATTTTACAAAGCGATGGCGAATAACATTTTATTATTTCATTTTCATTTTTTATCAAGTCATTTTGTGACATAAGTCGATAATATATAGGCATTATAGATAAGGTTGATTTCAGGAATTGAACTTTGATTTTTATTCCCCAGTTTTATGTTATGTGTTTTGTTTGCTTTTTTTAAAACAGGTGTGTCAATGTTTGAACTAAGAGATGTTCAGTCTCATACCCAGTTTAATACAACGGAACAATGGCTACTTACTAACTGGACAACTACCGGAGTTCTGAGAGCAAGGTACAAACAAACTTAACATTTCTTTTGCTATAAACTACAGAAGTATGAGGTGTATTTATATATTGTCCTAAAGAAAATAATAAGATTCACATTACATTTTTCAAATTGTATTAGGCGTGAAATTGTAGCCTCATAATCTCGCCGTTTTTGGCAAGTTCCGGAAATACCCGCTAGTAGTTATTTATTAAGATAGGTCCCTCAAAATAAAAACGCATTCAAACTCGTTCATGTATCAGATATTTTCTACGGTAGGGAATAGTGAAAAATAATAACATTTGAAAATTTCTATAAAGGAAACACTTTAAAAAGCTCGTATGTGCATTGTTTAAATGATATATGGTATAATTGTAAACCTTTTTCCTACTGTTGTCAAGAAGATTTAGAGCTCATTTTCTCCAACATTGGCACATACTTCAATAACTGATATGAACTGCTTATACAAGGGAGCACTATATCCATCAACATGGAAACAAAATAAAAAAACATCAGATTTAAATATACATGTTTATTTTAGGGTACGAATAGAATCTCAGCAAATAAATAAATAAATAAATAAATAAAATAATTGATTTTTGTGCCCCCACGTTAGTGGCGGGCATTTAGATTTACCCTTGTCCGTCCGTCCGTCCGTCTGTCCGTCCGTCCTTCCGTCCGTCCTTCCGTCCGTCCGTCCGTCCGTCCGTTCACTTTTGTGTCGCACGTAACTCAAAAAGTATTTGACCTAGAGTCATGAAACTTTACAGGAATGTTGATCAGCATGTGTAGTTGTGCACCTGGGTATTTTCGTCTGGATATTTTTAGTATTTTCAGAGTTATTGCCCTTGACTTAGTAAAATTTTGCAATTTTTAACTTGTGTCGCACGTAACTCAAAAAGTATTTAACCTAGAGTCATGAAGCTTAACAGGAATGTTGATCAGCATGTGTAGTTGTGCACCTGGGTATTTTCATGTGGATATTTTTAGTATTTTTGGAGTTATTGCCCTTGACTTAGTAAAATTTTGCAATTTTCAACATGTGTCGCACGTAACTCAAAAAGTATTTGACCTAGAGTCATGTAACTGTACAGCGAATATATTGATCAGCATGTGCGTTGCCACAGGTATTATTTCGTCTGGATTTAAGATTTTGTATTTTAGGATTATTTTTAGTACTAAAAATTAGGCATTTTCAAACTGTGGCGCATTACTCAAAAAGCTTTTTAATTATGTCAAAAAACATTTATGGGCGGTTAGCAGTGTAAATTTAGATTTACCAACCTGGTTTCGTTTGGGTTGGATAGTATTTGGTAAGTTTATTGATCCTTGACTTAGCTTAAAAAGATTTGACAGAACAGTGGCTGCGTGATGGAGTTCACACGTGTCCTATGGACACATTTCTAGTTAACAATTAATTAATCGATTTCATTTAATTAATTAATCAATTAATTATATCATTAATTGTTAACAATTAACAAATGTCTCTGCGATAAGTGTAAACAGAAATTACGACAGCAATGAAAAAAAAAGCAACATCCCCAAAAAACAACAACATCCCAAAAACAACAACAACAACAACAAAACAATAAAATAGTGTGTATATAATATCTGTGTCATTACATTATTGTTTACTGATAACGAAAAACTTTTTTTCTTCATTGTTTGAATGTTTAGTCCTCCTTATATAAATATTTTCTTAAATCACCAGTTGGCTGGTCAATGACCACATACTCGCAGAAACACAAGAGCTTCCATACGAGCCAGACTGGCTGGTGGACCCTTGCTGGATGACTGTTTACAGACATGCTGATGACGGTACCCCTCTGTTTGGTAACATCCAAGATCTAAATGATGCTGTCAATGCGGGTAAAAGAATCAAATGCAGAATAGGTGATAAGATTTACGAGGTAAGTTGGCGATACTTAACATTACCATAATGTCTCCCTCAAATTAATTACATGTCAAATGATTACCATGATTTTATAAAAATAAATAAATAAGTAAATACAATAATTATTATCGGTAACTGCATGCCAAAAGGTCAACTTATTATACGTTAACAGGCAAATATCAGTCCTACAGAGTTAGTCCAATATAGGACAGATTAAGTAATATATTTTTAAGTACTATAAATATAGGACGACTTTCCTAAATCATGTTAAAGGCCCATTATGCCCCAAAAATGCTTTTAATTTTATTTCTCAAAAAACATTGTATTTTTGGTGTCCTGTTACAGTGTCCGAACAGTTACTAATTAACCAAGTACCTAAAACATGTTTTGTTTCTGTTAATTGGTATGGTTATAGTGATTTGGTATTTGTTTGGAAGTGAAAATACTACTATGTTTACATTTTGCTACTTTTATGACAAATAATTACACAATCAGTGCTTCTTACGTTTGGAAGTAAGTATCAAAGATGCTCTAAAATATCATAATCCAAACGATTTAAAGCTCATGTTTGTCCTATCTTAATATAGAAAAATAATTTATTCATTTCTGAGGCATAATGTGGTTTTAATTTTAGACACTTTTAAAAAAGCTCTGTCTTACTTGCAAATAGGTATTAATAGGTATATATACCTATATATATGTTTATAAAAAACTATATATATAAAAAAAACAAAAAACAAAACAAACAAAAAAAAACACAAAAAAACGATGAACGTTTGTTCGTTCATCGTCCGATGCAATACTCTGTCGATAAATTAAAGTTTACATGAATTTACAGACTTCACAATCAATCTTACTTTAAATAGGCCAATGATTTACCTTTCACCGGCCGATGCAATACTCTGCCGATAAATTAAAGTTAACTTCACAATAAATCTTACTTTTAACAGGCCAACGTCGTACGCCAGCCACTCGGCTCCAGTAAAGTTATTGCCCAGATCTACGATTCTATCAATTTTGATGTTGCTCTTGGAAGGTTTGAATGGTTGAACGTTGATACAGATGGGAATGTACAAACGATCGAATACGACATGGGTAGTACCGGAATTCAAAGTGACACCAACACTAACGCAGGAATAACATGGTTTGCCGAATACAGGAATTACATAGATATAACGACTGAAAGCACAACTGGTACGTGTTAAAACTTTATTTGAATATGTAAATAAATTATCTCTTATTCATAGTCTCATTTTCAATTTTAAGTAATAAAAAACTAGCTTACTTTACTTTTTTACTTTAATTACTTTATCTGATGCCAATTTTTAACGCAAAAAATCTTAGCGATTATATCTTCTTGTAGCCAACACTGACAACTTATTTGACAATGTTAATGTTGAAAATAAACAAAACATTTAGTTTTGTTTTTGTATATCACATATTTCTCTCGTTTTGTTTCAGATAAGTCTGCAAGGATAAATGCTGGAGCGGACATCCGGTACAGTGTCATCGTCAACAATGAACGCACCTGGTACCAAGCGGACTACGCGCAGGAGAAGATAATACTTGGAACCAGAGCACTATTTATGTATAATCTGTACAACGAACGCGAATTCGTAGTCGATGGATCGAACTACATTCGTCGATACAGCTTTGTCAAGTACGATACAGGACGATACAACTTCTATGATTATCTGCTTGGCGACTTGAATCAATATGGAGACGGTGCTGTGGAGCCAGCCGACGCAGATGTTCAAATGTTCGCGAGAGCATAAAATAAAGAAAATATTATAACTATGTAAATAATGGTATACTTATTTCATTTGGTAAATGACAAAATATCTATATAGAAATTATTTTTTGGTTGATGAAAAACTTATAACTGGTCAGAGTGATATTGTAATTCCCAATTATTGGAAGTTCCTCTTTTTCCATATACTGCTTAGTTTATTCTAAACAACCCGAATAGTGCTTAAACTAGTTTGAATAAAGCATTTTATTTAAAAATATAAAATAAAGGTTATGATATCTGAAACACAGTTTTACATTTTCTATCAGAACAAACGTACATTAAACTTTTTTGAATACAAAACATCGACTTTAAAGTACTAAAGGTACTGACGTCTTACTTACCTTGAGCTGCCGCAGTTGTTCGTTAAAAACAGAAACAGTGACTTGGATTTTTTAAAATACTTTTTTATATATTGATAATAGAACGATCGCGAATTACTGAAGTACAAATGCACTTAGATTATTCTAAATAACATAGAAGAATGCTATATATAATTTTTCTTGGATGGACGTCCATGGCTAGTTGGATCTGCTTTAAAAAGACCTTTTGTTATTTATACATGTAGTAAGAACTTTAAAGCAACAGGCCTCGAGATACATAAAATAGATAATTAAAACTTGAGAAAATTAGAAATGTTTGCATTTTCAAGGTTAAACTGAATGAAATGTGCAAAATATAACGTTATTTACACTTTTCAAATCAAAGTTCTATACCTATTTTCTAACGAACTGACAGAAATGTTTGCATATTTTGAACATATAATTATAGGTAATTTCTGTGGCTTTTGATTAAATTCCTTAGTATAAATTGCTTAATTTGTACATTTTGACTTTTTTCCTTATTAGATCATTTTTTTATGTTTTCATTAAACTCAACACAAAAAGTGAAGGCGTGCTGCTTTAACTCTGTTCTCTGAAAAAAAAAAATATCTGACTATGTTAAATTTAACAATGATTGCCTATAAATAAACATGTCTAAAACATAAAAACATATATTTATATAAATATAACGACGTAGTATTCGAAAAACAGTTCATGGGGAGGCGTGATAAGTATAAACCTGTAAAAAATAATTCGTTTGTAATAACAACAACAACGACAACAACAATAATGATAACAACAATAAATTGTGATGACAATGATGAAAATAATGAAAATGATGCTGATTATAAAAATGTTGCTGAAAATGATTATCATAGCAAACGCTGTCAAAAACAAAGATAAATAGCAACAAAGTAGCAAAACAAAGCTTCACTAAACGGCAAGTAAAGAAACAACTCAATTCCGCTTAAAATCATTATCAAGCAATATGCACCGCCACAAGGATATATTAAGTACCTACTACATGTTTATTGTTATGAGTAAAGAAAACTCAACAAATAACTTAGTAAACATTGTGATACAAATACTTTAAACTAAGTTTCTATTGAAAAGAATTAAAAGTAAAATTTACCGTTTTGAAACGGGATATTCACAATAGTTGACTTGCCATTGCCTGCTATAGTTTGTAGTTCACATCTGTATGAATATAAAGAAATGATTTTAATAGATACCTAAAGGCATTGTACAGCAGTGACATAGATCGTGTAGCTATTTTTCTTGAACTGGTACAATACAATACTTTGAGGTTATTATACAATACTGAGTATACAGCTTTCAAAACTATATTGGACGAGGCGCTAGCTATACCTGATATTAGTTTTGCAGCTGTACGAGTTCAATAGAATCAGTATTGTTTTCAACCACGTTTGGTGATCTCTTTATTTCACAGCAACATTTTTTGACAGTTTGACAGAAGATTGATTATTACAATAAGATTTTAATATAGATATTGGAGTCTAAAAATGAGGCTAGAAGAAATAAAATATGCATTTGATACGGTATTGATATAGACGTTTTTGGATTTTGGAGAAAAAACGGGACTAAACTGATAAGATTGAATCTGACAATGATTTCTATTGGAACATCACGTGTTGCAAATGCTGAACGTGCATTGGTTATCTTTTAAAGGTGTGAAATGAAATTAGATATTTCTTTACATTTTCTTAGAATTAACCTTTATAATTTTCTTAGTAATAGTTTTTTTCTCTCTCAAAAAGTTAGTTATCTACATGCTTTTATTGTTTCCTGGTATTTATTTCTAGAATTCTTGACATTCAAAGTTATTTTTTTTAAATAACTTTATGCATTTCTTTACATTTGCTACAAGTTATATCTCATAAATGTTATTTTTCAAACGTCTCATAGTAATGTCCCTTTTAGCCCTGGTGTAACGTATTACATTTGTTATTTCGCTAAATTATCAAAGGATTTCTCTATATACGTTCTAAGTATCTCCTTTACTTATGTCTCCCGTTTCTTCTAATATTTCTCTAACTTCAACAAGTTATTTCATTTATATTGCATAAATTATATCTATAGCTAAATAACAATGAAGATGTTACCGTATTGAACCACCAGATGTTACACATGTCCCCTTCTTGCAAGGATATAGATCGCACAAAACGTTTGTCTCGCAATGTACACCATAGAAACCATTTTGACATTGACATCTGAACGAATCATCATTGTTTGAAGTAGAAAAACATTTCCCGCCATTTTTACACGGTGCATCTGGACAATTATCAGCTGCTGAAGTAGAAATAGTTTAACATTTGAATAGCCAAAATATTTTAATAGGACAAGAAAAAATATGGATCTTTAATGCATTTACCGCCAAGAAAGCTGTAATGTTGGTTCTATTCAGATGTCCAATCATGTGTGATATAGAATTTATGGACGGGCCCCACAACATATTCCGCAAACGTCACAATTTGAACATAAAATAACGATGTGACTCATAAACTGACCACAAAATATATCTTCAACGTTAGCACTATGGGCTTTAATTGACTTGTTTAACCTAATGAATAATGTTATATAGATTGACCTCGCTTTGTACATTTGACTCCATTTTGGCATGTGTTGGAATGAACTTGTCGGCTTAAGGGTAGTACTCATCAGAAATTGCTGTGTCACATGAATAGTAACTTGTAAATAATGCAGCGGCATGCTAGCGAATCAAAATATTAAAATGATAAGAAACTATTTTTAATATTTACAAGTTATTTTTTTCTCGCAGAGTTCCCCTTCAAATTCATTTTCACAAAGGCATGTAAAACTGGTTAAAGTATCAGAGCAGTTTCCATGGTGACAGGGATTATGTTTGGAACAGCCTTCAAAATTGTCACATCTTTCCCCATAAAATCCTGGCAAGCACAAGCAAACGTTTGGGAAATCTTTTTCACATCTACCATGTTTGCACGTGTCATTTGTACAAAAGAACAGGTCAGTTGTCATTACTGGTGACCTTGACGAAACTACATCGATGAAAGAATGTGCTGGACTTGATGAATCATAAGGCCTCACGGTTGTAGAGGTAGGTTCTACTTCGCTGGGTTTGTACTGACAAAAGTTTCCATGATAACCTACAGCACATATACACTGGAAACTGTCATTCAAGTTCTGGCAAAATCCATAAATGCACTTGTTATTCTTGCAATGGTCTATAACATGATCACACCTTTCACCCGTGTAGTTGTCATCGCACGTGCATTTGAAAGTTCCAAGAACACTCGTACATGTACCGTGTTCACAAGGTTGACTTATACAGTGATTTATTGGAGTATCACATTCTTTTCCAGTAAAATCTTCATCACATTTACAAAAATGTGCTCCATTGTCTTGTTTGCATGTCCCGTGCTTACAAACTGTTTGATCACATGCGTATTTGGAGGTATCACATGTTTGCCCAGTTTTCCCTCCTGTACAAACACAAAAATATGACGTCATTGTGTTTATGCAATATCCGCCATTACAGTTTGCATTTAAACAGTGGTTAATAGTGTCATTACAGTATTTGCCTTCAAAACCCGGGCTACACTTGCAGCTGAAGCCAACATCAGAATTTACACACTCCCCGTTTGTACAATTTACATCTTGACAATGATTGATCCTCTGATTACACCGGAAACCATCAAACCCAAAATCGCACTCACAGGACGGCCCGTTGTCGTAAGACGAACATTTACCGTGAACGCAAGGATTAGGATCACAATAGTTAATAAATAGAGAATCGCAATGACTTCCGGTGTAAGAAGCCTCGCACACGCATGTGTAGTTTAGCCTTCCGGTCGGAATGCAACGTCCATGTTGACATGGGTTTTCGCTACATCTTCCCACAAACAGTTCACATCCTTTGCCTGCCATGAAAGGTGGACAATTGCATTGGTAATCATTGACTAAGTCAGTACAAGGTATGTTGTGGAAACAAGGGTTACTGGCACATTCATCTATATCCAGCTCGCATTGTTGACCTGTAAAGCCTACAAAAATACATAAAAGTTAATAAAGTTTCAGATTCATCTTCTACCTTTTCATAAAAAATGAAAAGAACACTTTGAAGATTTTTATCATAAATTGCGATCATAGTTTTTAAGTTATTATTTGTCTTTAAATTTATACGATAGATAGGACTGGTAGGTAGGTAGGTAAATAGGTTGAACAATTTACATTGTGGTACCTGGTACACAGCTGCACGTGTATTTCCCCTCTGTGAAATTTGGGAAGCACGAGGCACCGTTTTTACATGGATTGCCTTTGCATGGATCTGGAACACTCTTTGTACAATTTTCGCCCGACCATTCTTTCTGGCACTGACAGTTATAAGCTTCTGTTCCTCTTGGAGTGCATTTCCCGCCATTTTTACACGGACTCAAATAGCACAGTCCGACAAATTTATCACATCTTTCCTGTAAAGATTTATTGATAAGCTTATATTTAACATTGTATTTATTCAATGTGCTGTTCTTTTTCAATCACAAGTGTCTCTTTAAGCATCAATATATAATGTACTTAATCATACAAATTATCAAGATTTACGATCATGTCTTGCAATGAATTTAGTTATGAATGTGTCGTTTTAATAAGAAAAAAAAACAACAACAAAACTATAATACTTGATGATAAGATTAAACGCCCACATGCCCGAAAAATCTTTTTATTTTATTTCTTAAACGCTTTTTTTTGGTGTCCTGTTCTAGTTTACCTGGTAATTTGTACAGTTATGGGAAGTCAAAATTATTTTTACTTTACATACATTTTGCCACTTTGCGAATTTAATGACAAATAATTATATAATCACCGCTACTTCACGTGATAAGCATTAAACATGCTCTAAAACCATTATTCAAACGTTATAAATCACATGTTTGTCTATTCTAAAGAAGAAAACAAAGTTCGTTTCTGAGATTAATAACGCAGTTACAGTGCAATTAAATAGCTCATGCGGTTTAAAGTAAGAAATCAGTCCAATATTGAATAATATTTTAACTTTATTTGAGCCGCGTCATAACAAAAACAACGTGATGTGTTTACGACCAGCATGGATCCAGACCAGCCTGCGCATCCGCGCATTCTGATCAGGATCCATGCTGTTCGCCTACAAACCCTATTACAAGTAGAGATGCGCAGGCTGGTCTGGATCCATGCTGGTCGCAAACCCATTATGTTGGTTTTTTCGCGACGCGGCTCATTTCTTCTTCATATAAATTACATACTTTACAATACATAAATAAAATTATGTTAAGATCGCTAACGAAACATGTCATAGATAGTAATCGGATGTAAATTAAGCATAATGTATTTAACTACCTTGAATCTTTAAATGCTCAATTAATGACTAAAACACTTTACTTTGATCGACTTATAAACAGGCATTTACAAACATTGGCAATAAATATATGATTTATATTTATTTCAATCCCATTAATGTTTCACCGAATCAACGATTGATACGAGCATAGCTGATTTCATTATGCACACATGTATTATAATGTATTTAATTTTACCCATGAAATATGGTGCTATATCAGTCAAATATATTTCATATTTTTTAAAAATAAATATGAAATATAAATATGAAAGTGGGCGGAGTCAAAACTCATATTTATTTTAAGGGACTTCTTTCGCCGTTTTGTTTGAAAAATCTGATAAATACAAAACAACTTTTTCTTGAATATTGTTTTGAAAACTATCTAGCATGATAGAAAATGGTCTAACTAAGAAAATTGATCCGAACACCAATATCTTTAATTACTGTTAACGCTGTACAGACGTTTAAAGAGTTGTTTACATGACGTCACAATGTAGCGCCAAACAGCGCGTGCTTACGCATAAATTACTGCGCGCTGTACAATTGCAGTTGGTAGCAAGCAAGGGGTTTCGGTACCATTTTCTTTGATAATAAAATTAAATAAAAAGGTTATTTTTTCGTTTTTCGTGAAATATGGTATATATTTTCACTCAACATGATAAAATGCCACATATTTTCACTCGCTGTACCGGCTCGTGAAAATATGTGGCATTTTATCATGTTTCGTGAAAATATATTCCATATTTCACGCAAACGAAAAAATATCCTCTTAGTATTTACCCAATCCTAAGATGATCATTTTAAAGGAACTGTCTATCTCTCAATTATCAATTCCGAGGAGTTTTCAAAGTAAGTACTGACTGGATATCGAACAATGAAGACCATGATCAGACATCACGTATTTACAGCTTGATTTTGGTCTACACTAATCGCATGTGTAGAATTAGTAGCCGCCAGCCAAAAAATAAGGGAGGGGGATAAATGATCAAAACTCACCCCACCAAGTAGACTTGGACAGTTACATTTAAAACTGTTAATCCTGTCCTCACATTTCCCGCCCATCAAACATGGTGAACTTTCACATTCGTCTATATTTGTTTCACAAACATGTCCTGTAAATCCAGCCATACACGTGCAAGTAAATAGTCCGTCATCCGAACTACACGTGCCATCATTCTTACACGGAGAACTCAAGCACGGATCGACTTCAACTGTAAGTAGAATACACTCCCTTAAATGGTTTCATTATTTATGCACAAGAAAATAAAACGTACCTTTTATTAGTTTTTATTATTACACTTACATAACATTTTACGTATTTCATTAGCTTTAGCATTTTCATTGCTGAAGTGAAATCAATAAATGATGTAGTTGGTAAAATGTTCTGAAAGAATAAATTTTATTAATCTAAAATATATAACGTATATTTTCCTCTCGAGTACGGTGGCATAAAGAGGCCATCAGAACATTTTTATCTACCACGCGCGCACGCGATAGCTACTTCGTGCGCACGCGATAGCCATACTACGTGCCAATGTTCCAGATTTGTATGTCTCACATTGGCGGAGTTGATAGTTAAGAATGATTACTGTCGAAGAACACGTGTATACCAACAGATGACTCATCTAAAAAGATAGTTAAACGTAAGTCAAGAAACTTAGTTACTATGCCGGTCAAATCCTTTAAGAAGTTCTAATAATAACTTACTGATGTCGTAGACAGCCTTAAAGGCAAATGGAATGCTTCCTGTTGCAAAACGAATGTAAAGGTATCCATCCGATGATCGAAATCGACTATCTACGAAGTTATCCGAAGTACAGAGTCTTGATAATTCGACACTGCGTTCGGATGTGCCGTCATAGATTGTTATTCCGCCATCTTGATGACGACACAAATCGTCTTGACTAAAAAAGGTGGAGAAAACCAAATCAAGTTGTCTCCCTTGTGGAGCTTCTATCTTCAGGTAGCAGTCGATGTCTGTGACCGAGGCATATGGGAAATACGGTGACGCAATAGCACGTGGAGAGTAGTTCCATGGTATGGTGGCGTTGCAAGGCCATGCTGTAATTACATCAGTTATGTAAAGTTCATTACACATTTATTTATATGATAGACAAGTGCAGTTTTCAGAGCGATTAATTCATTGTCCCAAAAGGAAATTACACAGAAATATTCTATATTAGCAATCACCTCTGTGAAAAGCAAATTTATCATGTCTGCATGCACCATAAAACTAATTCCATCATTATAGCTGTGCTATTTAAGATCGTTAAAATTTGGAATTGAATCGTTTTATTTGGATATTGCATTTTTAAGTTGTTAACAACTTTCTATAAGCAAATTGAATTCACCAATTAAATGAAATAATTTATACACCCGCATCTTTGTTAGCATTCTTTCCACAAAAACATTGAATGCTTTGTTTTGCAGTTTTACTGTCTTTAAATAATTTGATAAGCCCGTAAATGTCAATTGAGCATAGCCCATATAGTTATCATTTAGGCAGATGTTTCTATGGAATTATCCATCAACATTATAACCAGGTAGATAATAAGTATAAGAATACAGATAACTTACACGAGAAATACTGATAATGATTGTAGTCATCCGAGGATACCAACTTTTGACCGTTATCTTTGGCATAGAAAACTTTGCTCAGTCCACACACCTGTAATATAAACAATCATACTTCAGTCGTTTTTTTTGGCGGGATCATAATTTCAAATCAGACAAACTATCTATCGATAAGAAATTTATATCGACAGAGTAGGGCCGGAAAATGATAATCACTCAAAATGAATAATGATCCCGAGGGTTTCAGCCCGAGGGCACCGATTATCAGTTTCTGGTCCGTCTATGATGTGTTTTAATGTCTTTGATATATTTATTAATAGTAGCATTAAAATACTTCTATTAGTTTTTTTATTGAAATTTCCCGGGGAGCAAACTCATAATCGGTCACATGACACTCATAATCAGTTGAAATAATAGGCAATTTTGTTACTATATATAGTAACAAGTGTATTAATATTAAAACATAAAACGGCGACGAAGCATGACATATAAAAGTCCTAATAAATGTCCGTTCAACCATATTCCTGCTGTTGACGATAAATAATACACACTAGACCGGTGCAGATCAACGATGCATGGATTGTTCGCTTAAGTTTAATATATATTTCTTAATTTTCCCTAAAATTGATAAATGATTTTGTCCAAATTGAATGAGTCCATTTAAGATATTGAGCGTGGTAAGGGTTAAGAAAGTTGCACCGAACTCTTCTGTATTTTTAAGCAGTTTAACTGTTATCTGAGGATGTGTATGATTTTCATTATAGTTTTAGATAATCAATTTACATCTATACTTACCCGTTTACTTTCACTATATGAGAATGACATGCACGTGTCACGCGTTTCAAGTAGACAGAAAAGTGCACATTTCTCGAGCGTCATATTGTGAAATATTGTAAAATACGTCTTCTGGTCATTGAGGACTTGGTGACCGTACGGTTGAAATAAATTGATATAAGCACCTGAAAATAAACATACGTATACTCTATCTGTCCCAAATTTTAAATATGGAATTACACAAGTGTATACAATGTATATAGCATACACATTGTTTTATAATAAGGCTGTTAAAACATATTTATAAAAAACGCCCGTATTAATTAACACGTCTATTCGTCTAAAATGTAACGAAGATTATGCTTTTTTGGCAGAATTGTCGCTGGGGGTATGTAGATGTTAAGTGCTTATAAAAGCAATAACAATTAAATTTGAAATACATTTACATGTTATATCATCAAAAATATGATAAATTTGATAATATCTTAAAAAGTTCGCGAAAAACAGCATAAAGTTTTGACAAACCTTTCGACCGTTCAAAGTAGTTCATATTTTTATTATCCAACAATCCAAGGTAGCCTCCTTTTAGAACAAGTGTTGTTACATTGGTCAGCACGCACATCTTTGTGACGGGTACAAACTCAAACGCATAACAATGAAACTGAAACAGTCGAATAAACGTTTCCAAAAGGCTATATATTCAAAATTTAAACGTGCATTTTAGAATTTTACTGAAAGCGTTTAAGAAAAAAATAAAAGCTTTTTACAAGGAACATTCGACTTATTCGTCTTTTTTTTAAATCCCATTATTGATTGAATTACGCCTAGTGTGCCGCTTCAATCGGAACATCTTGGCTATTATTCATAATAATCTCGGACTTGATACGGATTGAAAATTTTTACCACGTGGTTTTATATATAAACATAAACAAAGGGTATAATCTCTGATAATTTATAATAAATGTACAATTTTGACATCCAAAGGAAAATCAAGTCTATTTCGGTAAAGTTATGGTTGAAAATTTGTCTGACAATCATTTTCTATAACAAAATCCGAATTATTGTCAACGGGTAGACATTGAGAACTTTAAGTTTCTACAACTACTGTTGACTTTAACATCTACTAATTTACTTAATTTAGGTGGACTTTTACTCCAAATATTGGAATAAACTTAGTCAACAACTTCCAGCAATAAATTACTATTTGTTTACATGTTTAGTTTCTTAGCGTGGGTTAGTCCGTTCTGTGTATTCTTACTATTGTGTTGAGGTTCTTTTCCGAAGTTTCACGGAAAATGCCGAGAAGTGATTGGTGGCGCTTATGTTCCTATCAATACATTTCGGGTTTTTGAGAATATTCGGCAAACGAGTGAGGACAAAAAGCGAATATCTAGAAAATAAACGTCAAACGTTCATAAAGGGGCGTCACCAGTATCAATTCATAGTTGTAATCAAGAGGAGGTTACTTCCCTTTAATTATTTTTCAAGCGCACATTAGTTAAACGATCGTCAGTCGTCACTATTTACATCAGCAGAATGTGTATGTGTTAAAACGTGAGTGTTCAAAAGGTTTGTAAAAACTGTGAAAGCGAGGAACACATAATGACATAAAATAAAACAAGACGTGCCCCACAATGGAGAGCAGCGCAACGCTATAAATAGTCGAATGTCAGAATAGTCAATAAGAATACTTGATGAGATTATTCCAAAATTCTCACAACATTATAAGCATTAAGAGCTTTTTATACGCCATTTAGTACACATAATGAACATTTGAAAAGTTACCTTTCCTTCCTATAACAGACTGTTGCATCATTAGGTACATAAAAGGAGATATTTGTAATAACAGATATAATATATTGCTAATGAATATAATTTAATGCTTGTAAGATGTGGTAATAATTTCCTTGTAAATAATGATGAGGACTTGTTTATTTTCTTCTTTATAGAGAAAAGGTTAAGTTTTTATAGGTTACAAAAAATATTTCTACATTTGTTCCGTATAAATATTTTGCCCAAGATTTCATTAAAGTCGAAATTTTTCTTCTTCAAGATTTTAAAGTATCAATCCTTAACGCCTACCGGTTTTCACTGTAATAATTATCCTAAAAGCATTGCACGTTGATCTTGATGAATTAAATTATCCATAAAACAAAATTTACCATTCTCGGTAACATTCATGATATAAGTGAAGCGTAATATGACATTGAGAGAAATCAAGTTTGCACATTTAAAAGCTTTACTAGGTTTCTCTTACACTTTACGACCTGTTTCATCTATCTAATAAATTTGAATAAAATTCTTAAAATGCGTGCTATCAAATACTTGACAAATAACTCTATTGTTTTGGAAACCGCATAGATTGAACTGTCGTGCCACTCCATGGAGTATAATATCATTTTATAGTTCTTGAATGGATGCAACAGGAGTGTTGAAATAAAAAAATCTACATAGACTGCTTTTGCACTTTTAACAGCATTGTTCCATTTACACACAGTTGAAGTAATACGACAATATCTCACCAAATAAGCATACATAACCCTGTCTGAATATTCCTGGAGTTTGGTGTCTTCAGCTTCACATAAATTAAATCATTCGTGAAATAGAAATCAATTAAAAAAATCAAACAACAACAACAACAACAACAACAACAAACAACCCCTTCCAAAATACAACAACAACAGAAAACAACACAACATCATCATTACTATGATCATTATGACAGACATCGCTACCACCATCATCAACATCCGGGTAGGCAGAAGCAGCAAATGCAACAGATAAACAAATTTTGTAATAACTAATATTATTTGTAAGAAGAGAGTAACCTGATTGAGATGGTATTGTAATGAACAATCTGCGGCACATTGTCCCAGGGTTACATTCCGTGTGACCTTGAATGAATTCGTCGGTAACGGACCCGGTAAAACCTTCCCTGGTGCAGAAATATAACTGCTAGTAGCTCCCGGGGCTAAAAGATAATCATACATCAAAATATAAAACAACACATTGTGATTATTTATTTGACTTTTTAAATTTAACACTTTTTGCATTCAATCGATTCAACAAATGTACGTTAATCTAATCTTAAAACAACAGGAACAATAACAACAATAATAATAATAATAATAATAATAATAACAATAATATCAATGCTTGTAATAAGAAAATTAGAAAACCGATTGATAAAAATAGGATAAAGGATATACACATTTTAAAAGCGTTAGTAAAATATTACTCATTATTTATGCATATACATTGCATCTTAATACTTAAGTAAGAACTGAATAATCAATAGTAAATTAAATGATTTTACCTTGTTCTTTTCTAGAAGTGATTTATGTTACTAAATAATATTTACTTACTCAATGACCTTGTTCCCAATGGTAAAATAAATAGAAATACGATTGTTCCTAAACCATTTGCCATGTTTAATTATAATTTCAATGAGTTATAAAGTAATGGCATTTATTAAAGGGTAAGTTCTTTTATGACAATTCATTGCACACTTTACATTGTTTTTATCTACAAGAATATTGACGTTTCAAACGCACCTGTCTCTTTATCGTTATCGTTAATTAATCCATGATATCAATTCAATGAACTATATGATATCAATTCAATTAACTATCTATCTAAACCCATCACTTTTTTTATCTGTATATATTTTCAAGTATCATTTTCCCCCCGATCATTTAAATAAAGATAATTTCAAAATTAAGTACGTATCCACGTGTGTATCACATGACAATTTGAGAAATATCAAAATATTTACTCGAATTAAGCAGATGGACGGATAAGCACAGCATACAGCTCGAATTCGCTATTCCTTTCATTATCTGTTTACATCAATATTGACAAAAAGGGGTGTTGATAATTCTTATATAAAAGGATACTATTTATTGCCTAAATCTTTAATCACCTAAACAATTACTCATATTTTATCTGTTCAGCGTAATAGCGTATTGGTTGAGTGTTCGCTTCGTCAGGTTTGATTCCTGTAAAAGGCATTTTTTCTTTTCTTATTTTTTGTTTTTAAATATTTTAAGTTCCTGGTGAATTTCTTTCACACAATACTATTAGAGAACATTTAGTTTTACATACATTCGCTTTCAGCAGGTTAAGTTAGAAACAACACAGTCGTGATTAGAGTGATAAAAAAGGAATCGAAGGACATTAAATATATAAATATACAAATGAGCCGAAATTGTCAAAAAATGTAGCAAATGAATTCAGAGTTTTAAATATAATTAAATTGACAATACTATTCAATCTGTACAATGGCTGTTAAAACAAATACATTCATTTTCTAAACCATAATTAGTTTAACTTTAAATTGTACAAAATATTAAACAAATCACAGGTTTATGAAAGAGAATATGGAAATGTTTTCTGAAAGTATAAAAAAACATACAGACACATAAAATATTGCACAATTGCAGATTTGAACTCGCAAAATTAAATGCTTTTCTTAACATGAACTCTCATGATCTGAACTCTCTAACCACTACGCTACTCGGATTTACGTGTTCATAACGACTTTTATTGGCGACGCACGGCGTCGTCTCTTATGAAATGCTTTTTATTTTGGCCTATGGAAGGAGCTGTTATTATTAGCAGTTAATGTCATGTTTTGTTAATTAGTTTTATATTGATTCGTAAAAATCAAGTAAACAAATATGTTGTTTTATTATATACTTATAAATGAAATATTGAGAAATATTGATGAAATAAAATGCGTATTTTCATTTTCCGTATTTTCACTGTAAAAATTTATTTTTTACTGCAGTGACACTGCAGTGAAACATATTTTCCGTATTTTCACTGGTGTCTTGCCGGACTACTTTCTTTTAAATTCTACCAGTACACAAAATTTAAGGGAAAGTTTTTCAAATTTTATCGCAAAAAAGAGAAAAATGTACATAATAAACAGAAAATTCAAGTTTTTTCTATAAATACATGATTTATTTTCATCTTGTGGCATGAAAATTACCATATTTCACTCGTGGCTACCGCCACTCATGAAATATTTATTTTCATACCACTCGATGAAAATAAATCGTGTATTTATAGAAAAAACTTGAATATCCTCTATATATTTGTATTTAATAACATTATGTAAAAAGCATGTGCATTGTGATATTATTTTTTTCTATATTGGAATACAAATGCAAGATGCAATAACTTAATAACTTGCACAACCTATTATGTCATAATGGTAAGACTGATTAATGTTAATGTTATCGTGTTCGACTTTGTACTGTTATGGGTTACCTATAAAAAATAATCAATCATTAACTCCCCCTTTAAAACAACATATAGAACAGAGTAGAAAACTTTATACATTGTACATCATCCATTCAATTATTTCAAAAGAACACTTAGCAATATAATTTATCTTCCAAACGTGCGAGAGCTTAATTAAGTACATTATATAGCTATGCGTGTATAATAAATTGTTGAACATTAACATTTACAATTATGTCATTATAGAAAATTCCAAACAGAGGTCTATTGATTTTAAGTGTAAAAGAGCGATCTCTGAGGTTCAAATGTAATTTCGTTTTAATTGACACGCTGTTATCACATGCAGACACGTTTCATAACATGATGTCAGGAATGTCAATTATTTGATTCCTACGAAGACAGAACATATTACTCAACATGGGATACATAGACTTAACAATGACAAGTATGTGAAATCATAAATGCATCTTTTAAATGCTTTTATAAGACAATGTTGGAATCAGTTAAATCAATATATAGATGATGCCATATTTAATATATTTCAGTTAACTTAAATGATATCAATTATCCGTTTAATTATGAAGAAATGTATTACATAATATATTCTACTTTAAATCATTCAAGCAAAGCAGAAACAAAATAACTTAAAATTTAATAAATCAATTCTTCTATTATCGTTGTTCTTGTTATTTTTTTTATTATTATTTGAATTAAAGCAACAACAAAAACCACAGCAGCAGCAACAACAACAACATATTTTATTTGATAATAAGGTCACCGGCACTTAATATACAATGCATGCGACAAGAATCATTTAAGCTCATGTAGAACCTTTATCGTGTTTCAAAATTTCTAATGAAAAATTAATTTATGGTAATACAGTACCAGGAAATTGCTGAAATGAGTAAGATATCGCTAGTTTAACTATTACAGTAGTTGTTTATCCGTCAAATTGATACAATACCTTGGCTATTTCGAGATAAAAGAATCCTTACAACATTAGTGAAACTAATTATGAAAAAAAAAAGAAAAAATCTAACTGTACCCTCCGGAAATGATTTAGTGTTTCTGACTAAAACAAAATGTGATCGAAATTATATGTAAAGATCCATACTAATTAGTTTCCAGATTTAGATACAGGAAAGAGCTGAACGCTAGAAATGGAATGAATTTGAGTTTGCTTATGCGTGTGACAACCCATTAATTATCAAATATAGTTTCTCTTTATCTGAATTCAAGCATGAAGTGGCATTCAGACATAGAAAAAAATATTGTACTAAAGATTTATATAGTTATATCAATTGCAAAGGTATACGTATGAATATTTATAAAATTAAAATACCTGCTCATAACTTGAGGATTGAAACCGGAAGATACAGACGTGAAAGAATACAAAGAAACAAAACATTATGCCATTTATTTAACTTACCAGAAACTAAAGATGTATATCATTTTATTTTAGTTTGTCCACGTTGTCAAGATTTTCAAAAAAAAAAAAAAAAAAAAAGATTTATCAAGCGATATTACTATATTAGACTTTGTATGAATAAATTTTAAGTTTGTTATAATCAGAAAATAAAGCTATACTTATATTTAATGTAGCCAATAAAAAGGTACAATAATTGTTAAGTACCAGTTGTTAAACAGACATTATGCTCATGTTTTCATTATCAAGTTGAACTGACACATATTTCAAAAGATTGACTGTTCTAATGCTGATTGAACAATAATTGATACTCGAAAATGTTTAGGATACGATATAAACCTGCCTAAAATATAAAAAGACTGACCCACTCTTTCTTTTATAAATGAACATTACAGGTAAATTCCTTTGGATATTTACAGAAATTTCTTTTGGCGACATGAGTTGTGTTAACGTCCATACGAAGTAAATTATAAAATTGAAAGGATTTGTGTCAAAATATAGCCGTAAAATTTATGCACTATATACCTTGGACGGGCATAATGTCACGTCAATACAAAATACCTATTAATTGGTACAACTTTCTATTCTTATTGTTGAAGATATACATATAATACAGCTGTTGTGTTTCTCCCCTTTTGTTGTTGTTATTTCGGGAACTCTTTATATGAATGATAGTGATGTTGTGATATTCTTTCTTTTATTCTTTATTCTTTATTTGCAGCTTGAAATTCTTTTATAGAACGCCATCAGTTAAACTTTTTATGTCCTTACCTTTTTTGTTTTCTTTACTTTTGTCATGTTTTTGCCACAGAATTATTGTATTTATAATTATTGTATGTAACAAGATACTGTAAATGTATAAGTAACGAAATAAAGCATTTCTTTTTCTTCTTATTGAAGGTCAAAAACTTTAAATAAATCAACATCATCATTAATGCCCACACTCTTTACTGAAGCTGTTCTTTGTCGGATACTTTACAACATTAAGAAACTGAAGGTTTAACATCGGGATGGTCTAAACAGACTTGCGAACGTATAATGATTTATGTTAAAATGTAAAATTTAAAATGTTACATATGGTTATAGTTCCCTCATTAGGAGGTTTATTTCTCATTACTTATATATATAGTACAATGTTTACCGAAAAGAGCAATACAAGATGTCAAGTCAAAATATCACATGCCAATAAATCACGTTTTAAGTGATCCATAAAGGACACCATAATTACACACAACAATAATTATTCCTAAACGAGTAGTACTACTTTGTAGGCGATTCCAACTAAACCCTTATGGTCAGGGTAACGTATTGTTACATGGCCAGCGATTGGCTAAAAAAAAGTGCAGGGAAAACCGTAAGATTCAATGGGACATTAGGTGATTGGACGAGAAGTAATTGTGTATAAGTATAAAAACTATTCTCGAAACTAACAGTACATTGTTTTCTGAAAAAAATGAAGTATTTTGTAAGTCTGTAGGATAATTTTTTACTCTGATATTTACATTTTAAAAAAGTATATGTCAGTCCTGTGATCAGCAGTGAATTACAGTGTAAAGGGGGGGGGGGGGGTAATCCTCTTTGAAGTCATTTTACGAAAAATTTGGTCGGCTACCCCTATATAACGAGATGAGTTTTATGTGTCAGGCATGTCATTCTCCCAGAAAAATGACATCTCTATGATGAAAACTCAATTTTAAGGTCTGTTTTGAGGTCATTTCTTATAATGTAAGCCTATGGAAAATTAATACGAGTATCTGACCTAAAGGCTGAAAATGGTAGGAAACATCTCGTGCCAATGATGTAAGTTAACATGTCTTGTTTTGATAA